TATATATATATATATATATATATATATATTGGTGGTCTACAAATATTATTGAAACTTATCATTAAAACCTATGTGAGCAACCACAACCAACAACTCATACAACACCCAACTCCAACCTCTGTGGCCCACGGACATTATTACAGACCACCACTAAACACCCGTGACTTAAATGGTCCACAATTCATGCAACTCCCAACTTCGGCCTTTATGGCTTATGACATTATTACAGCTCACAACTCCTATCTTTGTGACTTATGAACATTATTGAAACTAATTATTACGGCCTATGCGACCAGTTAAGGCCTACAGCTCACACAACTCCCAACTTTAGTTTTTGTGGCCTACGAATGTATTACATATTTTCACTACAAAAGTTTACAGCTCATGCAACTCCCAATTATGATCTCTTGAGACTATATACATTATTGCATATCATTGTTATGACCTACGTGACCAACTATGACATATGTGGTTTATAGCTCACACAGTCACAACCACCACTATAGCCTATGTGATCAATTACGGTCTTTGTGGCTCACATCTATAATAGTTTCCTACTACGACCCTTATGGATGGTCAAATACCATCACAACTTTCAACTTTAGTCTCTATGACAACCTGACATTACAATCATCATTTACAAAGTTCATGGCTAGCTACTGCCTTCGTAACAGTCGATTATGGGATTTGCAAACTATTACAATTATTTTTGTCGACATCAAATCCTCATCTTCTGTAATTCAAGAAAAGAGCAGACCTGCATACTTATAATTACATTGTGAATTATTTCAATTGGGCCTCAACCAACATGGCCAAATAATCACAAATTAAGCATTCAATTTATCTAAATTACTAATAAAAACACTTCAAAAATTTTAAGATTTTATATATGATGCATTAAATACCTCAAGAAAGATTCTTGAAATCACTTTGATAAATTTTGATATATTTTTAGATTTTTTAACACTTATTTATTAACATTTAATGAGGATTCTTAAGAAGTTATGCATACCACTTTAATTAATTTTAAATTTCTCAAAATAAAGTTCTTTAAGGTTAGGGTTACTCTTGAAAATATCTCAAAGCAAAGTAAAGTTCATTAAATATAATTGGAGTGACTAATTAATTTTTAATATAATTTTAACATATATTCAATTAAAATTAATTAAAAAAAATTTAGGTCCTAATTTTATTCTTATTAGGTTTAATTTTAACTTAAGGCATTTATTTAATATTATTTGTTTAATATTTATTTATTTATTATGCTTTTCAAAATATTTTTAAAGTATATATTTTTTAATTCCTCATTCTCATGACATCCATGCTCTGTTTAGTAACTTAAGATAGGTCAAAAAGCTCTGGTAAATTACACTCATTCTCTTTAACACAGATTAATGTCATTTTATCATGACCTGATAAATAACTTTGAATAGTATATATAACATTCTCAATAATTTTTTTTACTTCTTCATTAAAATCATCATCATCGAGCCACACTCTGACCAACAACCTATGATAGGTAAAAAATCCTCTCATTAGCCTATTTATTTAATATTTTGATTTCCACTTCCTCGGGCAAAAAGAGAGGTAGACTACTTTTCCTAAATAATTGATTTATCTTGAAAAACTTGCTATTTCATTCAACATATATATAAGTAAATAGGTGTTACAATGTTTAACAAATTAACCCAATAAAATCCTCTAATTACACACAACTGATAACTCACAACACACCCCTCAAGATGGAAAAATATTACATCAGGACTCCGCATGCAGAGCTGTTTGCGGAGTCCAATCTCGCGCTGACACGTGAGAGGTCGAAAACTTGCGACTCGACTCGATCGATACGTTATATGAATATTTTATCACATAGGAATATTCTCTCGCGTTATTCTGAATATTTTCCTCATTATTCATGTGTTTCGTGTTATAGAAAT